CCATAATCCATTTGTTGTGAAAATCAAATTTCTCTAATACTTTTCAATAAAATCTCATTTCAATCTATCATAGGACTTCTCTATATTAATTTTGCAAGTCATGATTCTAGATGTCTATTTTTCTTTATTATAGCATACATCTCATGAGCAATGAGAATATTGTCTAAAATTTGTCTATTTGGAACAAAAGCACTTTAATATGAAAAGATGATATCATCCAATTTGACCCCTTTTTTTTTGTTTTTTTGTAATTGACCCAAAAATATTAGACCATTGATACACCACTGGGCCATGTCAATTTGAGCCACATGGACCAAACATAAGGCCATGGCATGGCTCAGCATGCACACAGGTACCAAGGCTGGCCACTAGACAACTACCTGCAACCATGTTAATGCCAACCAGGGATGAAAATGTAATAAAGTAGGTGCTTGGCTCCTCCAAAACAGGAAAATTCCATTAAAAGCCCCTCCAAAAATAAGATAACATAGATCTCTAAGCCCTCCCATCCTATTTCTCTAACATTCTCCCACATTCTCAGAAATTCTCTCAACAGGTCTATTTGTTGACCCCCAACATCTAAAGTTTTTCCATCCGTAAGTGTCCTGGTCAACCCCCCTGTTTAGGAGTGTGTACCACCAACACCTTAGCGTCTACATAGTTATTGAATCTTTCTAAGAATAGCTCATCACCAAGTCCTGTGCATTGCCGCCGTGTTCCGCCCCATCCAACCTCACCAAGTCCTGTTATGCTACCTAATGATCCAACATCATTCTTATTCCATCCCTTGGCTTATGTTACCACAACTATTGCTTGACTCGCATTACCATTCTAACAGCCATTAGGGGTGTTCATTATCTGGTCCAGACCGCCATATGGATCTCAACCAAACTTTTTAATTATTACATCATAGATCAGACCGCCATAAAAATATTTTAATTTTTAAAAAATTTATTGTTTAATTATAAATTAACATCATTGGTGCCATGGCTCTAATGCGTAACAAGCTCCACTAGTCTTGGAATCAATTTCTTGTACATGTTTGACCAAAAAACTTACAACTGCCTTCATCTTGTTTGGTACCAGACATACAATACTGGATAGAAACAAAATTTATAAAAATAAAATATTAATAATGTAAATTATTTTAGTAATTAAAAACAGTCTTTTTTTGGAAACATTGCTGATGTGTGGGTTGGAAGCACCGTTATTTAAGAAAATAATGTCTTTTATTTTTGGAAACATTGCTGCCAGGTAAGACATTTCCTGGAGCAACAGCAATGTTTTCTATTTGGTACTAATACTCCAGGATGCCAAATTCGGCATTACTCCAAGCTACACCTTCCTGATTCTCAAAGCGTGGCTTAGAACATTGTTTTTTATGGATAAACAGTTCCAAACAAACATACATTTCCTAGAGCACTGTTTTTTTAGATGTGATGCTGATGTGTCACCATTTTGTGGAGCAAAGGCATCAATGCCAAACAGACGCTAAAGAGTATTAAAAAAGAGATCCTTAACTCCTAATATGGTAAGTGACTGATGTTTGCTGATGACAGTATTAATTGATGAAACTAGCACAGCGTTAAATGCAAAATTAGGTTTATGGACAACATTAGAAGCAATAGGTTTTAAAATAAACAGGATATAAGCAATGTAAACTTAATAATAAGAATGCAAACCAAACTACCAAGGTACACAAGATTGGAGACCAAAATAACTAAATGAGGCCTCCTTCATTACTTAAGGAGGATGTCTCCCATAGAATTAGTGGAATAACAGTGTTGACCAATTAAAAAAATCTCCAACAAATAACTGTGGCAAAACCGCAAATGCCTAGATAGATGAGCAGTAAAATTAAGTCATACTCGAAGAAAAACCTAAAAGAAGCTTCAATATGAGAAAAATTAAGAAAAAAGTAGATCAACATAGTTTTGGTTATGTGCATAGAAGAGAACCTGTCATAGAAAGTGATCTGACTGGTTGAAGGGGCTGGCAGAGGCTAGGGGCAGACCGAAAAAGACTTGCATGGAAGTATAAAAAAATGATTTCAACGCAACTATACATCCATAATTTAACAATGGATATAGCACTAAACAGACCAGAACAGAATGACAAAACAAGATTGATGTAACCAACCCCACGCGTAGTTGAGACAAGGCTTGGATGATGATGATCAATGCCTCTACTGCAGTAGCACTTGTATTAGAATGACCCAAGAATATTAAACAGAAAATATGTGATAATTGGAGATCAAACTCATTCAAATCCTTGCAAATCATCAAATTAGTGTGTTCATGTTCGTCCTTGTTAGATGCCATACCGCAATATACATGGCATGCAGTACAAACACAGATTCAACAACCTTGCATCTTTCATTCAACAGCATTTATGTTCAAATGAAGATATTACTATAACCTTGAACTTACGAAAAGAAACCAGGTTTTGCAAAAATTCCATAAACTAAAATAAACAACTCACTAAAGTACTACGTCTTTAGGAATCACCTCCAAATTGCAGAACAAGGTCTGAATCTTTTAGCAGAACATGTTGAAGGCCCACCATACAAGGAAAACTCTTATGCAAGCAGTTATAATCATAAGAATACAATTAGTCCAAGTATATACCATACTTAAGCTTTTACTGTTTCATTCACAATCCTGATGACCACAATGGAACTAACAAAAATGACAAGAGCTCAGAGAGTAAGGTTAGAAATTGTTTTCAAACCATTCTCAGTGTTTATAATTTTAGACCATCACACCAACTTCAAGAAACCAAGGACAAGGAGTATTTTGGTGCTTATCAAGGAGTAAAAGAAACCCAACAAAAGGAAAAAAAGTAGAAGATACAAAAGGATTGAAAGGACATAGTGAACAATCACAGAAAGTAAAAAACCACATTATGAATAGTAATACATTATCAATAGACATATATACATAATGCTAAATTCATAAGTACCAATAGATACTCGTACCTTAAAAACCATAAAAAGGTGTTTTGCACTGCCAGGTGCTCTGGCATTTTTGCAAACATTTCAAAAGAATTAAAGGCATATCTAAAATCGGTCAACATAAAAGGTGTTCTTCCCAAACTACTAATGCTTCAAATAATGATAGGAATAAGGAAGGACAAGTCATAAGTTGAGTGTAAACAGAACTGAACCATCAATTCTTTTCAACTTATTTAAATGTATAACATTAACCATCACTGTCATCTTTGGAGGAATACTTAAATCAAAATGGAATCCAAAAGAAGCCAATCCTGTTCATCTGTACTACTCTTTCGCAAACATCACATGTGGATAAAAACATGCAGATAGGTCAGGAATCCAAGGGCAATAGGTCAAAAAATAATTTGAAAAGGTTTTATTCATTTATTTACTTACTTTAAAAAGGATACTAGGTCCAAAAATTAAACCATCACCAAATATCAGAAATTAAATACTTCTAATGGGCCCTAACTACTGTACGAAAAGCTTCATTTTTCACAAGATAAGGAAGAAACCTCAGCCTCACTTCATGGGAGCTGAGGTCATCAAGTGGGAGGTATGCCAATTCACGGGGGTTGTGTGGCTCACATTTCATTTCATATCATATGAAACAGTGTTTTCACACACTAGCATTTGTCACACGATAAGGAAGAAACCTCAGCCTCACTTCATGGGAGCTGAGGTCATCAAGTGGGAGGTATGCCAATTCAGGGGGGTTGTGTGGCTCACTTTTCATTTCATATCATATGAAAAAGTGTTTTCACACACTAGCATTTTTCAATTCTAATTGACAACTTGATTTTTCTGACCCATCATATTGAATTATGGATCATAATGACTAGTTTAAGAAAAATATATAAGCCAGGAGAATCTGATAAGCCGAGATTTTCTTCTAGTAATTTCCTAAATTTAGTTGTAAGCACTAGGGCCACACATATAGAACATATAGGAGGACAAACTTTCTTCTAGTTCTGAACTCCCATTCTAACACAATATCCAAGTGTTCAGATTATTATCACTTCCTTTATACAGTCTTACAAGTTACAACTATTGACTCCCTTTACGGATATGTTTCTGTTTTCACGGGACTGATGCTGGGTATAAAAATACAAGGTGGCACATGGCAATCATTAAAGAAGCACCATTGGAACGTCAAGTACATGACAATAGGCAAGGCATACCAAGCAATGGGAGTTAAACCCAATGGAAAAAATGCCACTTGATCCAGTTATTCAGATAGGACAAGGCATCTTCTGGTTCAAGCCCCACAAAAAATATAATACAAATTAGTTCTTGCTCAAATTAATTGATAACTGACATACAATGAAAAATTGAAATGAAACCCTAACAATAAACTAAGGCTTATGGCATCCCAAGGGTAACAGTTCATAAACATTTCTTCTTGATTAAAAAGGCCATAAGATCACATAGTTTACCCATAGAAAGAAACAAGAAACCCTAACAATAAACCAAGGCTTATGGCATCCCAAGGGTAACAGTTCATAAACATTTCTTCTTGATTATTACAAAAAAAAGACCATCCAGAACATATTACCTCTTTCCATTGTCGCCAGAAACAAAATAGTAACATCATTTTAAAAATAAAAAATTAAAAGACTCCGAGCATATCTAATCAACATATAAAGATTAGGCAATGAAAAGACCAAGGCAACCTCAGCCCTTTTGTCGAACCATTTAAGATAGGAACCTCAAACAACTCTGCAAAAGCATCAAAGCGAATCAAAAGGCAAAGTGTTTCCATGTATTACTTTGCGTGTATAGAAAAAATCAAATGATTGATGAGCATTATTTGAACATAACAAATAAACCAGACAATTTAAGTCTACCATCAGAATTTCAAACAGAAACGAGCATAACGCTGCACAGAGATCAAACTTAAACGGTAGCTTAAACATCAACAGGTAGGAAGTTAGGAACAATCAAAAAGATGTTCCATTTCTTCCTTATAAACCACATGTAAGGATAATCCACTGGGGAAAGGGAGAAATTGAAGGAAAAAACTATAAATATCTTCATTTAAACAATTACCCACCATATCAAATTCTGAGACTTTACCAGAAAATAGGAAAGAGAATCATCCAAAAAGAAGTAAAATTTGAGAGAACTGCATGGTAATAACAATATCCCTCCACTTTGCATTAACCCCAAATCCATCAGTTCCCATAAGCCTAGAAAAAATGCAAAAAAAAAAGTAAAACTATAAAATGATATCAAACTCAAAACTCATCACTAGATGGTCATATTCTGATCGTTGTTGGGGCACTCCCTTGCAAAATGTCCTTGCTCCCCACAGTTGAAGCAACTCCCGCCACCACCAGAAAAACCTCCGCCGCTGCCCGACCTCCAACTGCTTCCGCCGCCACCAATTCCCTGATCACAATCCCTGGCAAGATGTCCAGTTTGACCACAGTTAAAACAAGCACCGGCACCACCCCCACCGTAGCCTGCACCAGCACCATTGCCCTGATTACAATCCCTGGCAAGATGACCAGTTTGCCCACAGTTATAGCAAGCAGCAGAACCACCCCTACTGAAGCCCCCACCACCACTTCCCTGATTACAATCTCTGGCAAGATGACCAGCTTGACCACAATTATAACAAACACCAGCATCGCCTCCAAACCCTCCACTCCTACCTCCTCTGCCGCCACTCCTTCCCCCTCTTCCATACCCACCACCACCGAAACTACCATAACCGCCGCCTCTTCCCCTTCCACCAAAAAACCCTCTTCCACTACCGCCTCCCGAGATGTTTCCTCCACCCAGTGCCGACACGTCAACCGCCTTCAACCGTCCATCCTCACCCTTCTCGATCACGAACTCAACCTGCTCACCCTCCGAGAGGCTCCGGTAGCCGTCACATCGGATCGACGACTGGTGAACGAAGAGATCTTCTCCCTCTTCGGGAGTAATGAAACCAAAACCCTTCTGCCCACTGAACCACTTCACGGTCCCCATCACTCTCTTTCCCTGCGCCATTGTTTCGATCGGCGATCGCAAAAGAAGGCCTCTTGTTTGTACAACCAATTCGTTTCCAAGCCCTAACTCTTTATAACCATCTTTGTTATCGGAAAAAGGAAAGTTACCACACAACTAATAGTAAGCTCTTCCTCTGAGATCGAATCATCGTTAATGGTGGCAGCTTGTAATATATAATCCCACTCTCTCCGACTCTTCCTCTCCCTCCCTTTTCGTCTCTTTCTCTCCTGCTGGGAAGTTGGAACCTCGGCTGTCGACTTCGAACGGTTTTAGGGCGCTTATTGAAGTGAGACCCATATATCGAACGGCTGGTGTTTGTTAGAGAGAATTGGCCAAACTCTTGCCGTCCGATACAATCGTTTCTCCTTCTAGTTAGGATTTCGATCAAATGTCCAAAATACCCCTTTAACAATTCGAATCCAACTTTGAGTTAAATTCCAGATAAGGAATAGGTAAGTTTATTCTGACACGTGTCAGACATGTGTATTAGAAAAATTAACCCTAGAAAAAGGATAACGGAAAGAGAACTTTCACGTCACGTGTACGTGATCCTTTTTATGGGCTCCGGAGAGAACTTTGACCCTATTAAATGCTCGTTTGGTGGATTGTAGGAGGAAGTCAAGAGGTCAACTTAGAAGTGATCACAGTAATTAACTCAAAAGGCTTTGTTTATAAGCAAAATTAAGAATGGAGTTCTATCACAGTTCCAATAATGTAGTGTTCATTTAAGTTGCACTTTAGTCATCTTAGCTAATTTCCTATTTTCTATATAAATTTGTATTATTTTTATTGAAAAAAAATTATTAAATTTTATTGGTTTATTCTTATTTTTAGGTAAAACTATAAAAAGAATCTAAATGATAATTCTATAAATCACCTTTGTGTTTTGACCCTAACAATGGTTTCCCTATAATTTTGAAAAAAAAAAGTGTAAATATCTCATTTCCTGCGGCTTTTTGATAACAAAGACATTGAAGGGACCAAAATACCCTTATCATTGTTTATGCATTATCATACACAATTTAAAGCTTCAACTTTATCCTTCACTAATTTACATTAACATTTTTTATTTGGCATGATGACGAAAGGAACGTATTTGCACCTATTTTCAAAACAATAGGAGAGGTTTTTGTTAAGGTCAAAACACTAGGAAGTTTGATAGTATTCTTAGAAAACCCAAGGAGGTTTTTATATTTTCCTCATTTTTAAATGAAATTTAAATTTCTTTTAAAATAATTAAACTATACTTAAAATTAATATTTTATATTAATTTTTTAAATTAGTAAAAATTAAATTAAGTATATTAAGTTTTTATTAAATTTAAATTCCTTATGAAATTGTATTAACTATATTAATTTTTTATTTTTAGTAGAACTTAAGTTGGTTTTAAATTACTAAAAAGTTAATTATAAAACTAATAATTATTAGATAATTTTGTATTAGTTTTATATAAATTTTAAGTTGATATTAGTTTTTAATTTATATTATTCGTTTTCTTAATTAAATTATTTTTATTATATTAATAAAAATATTTTTATCAATAACAATAATTAATAGTTATTTTATTTAAGTAACTTTTATTGAATTATTTTTATTATGGTTAATTAATTTTATTATTTTTAAATGGAATATAAATGAATTATAATTTTAAATGGAAGTAGATTATTTAGCGTAATAATATATCATTGAATATCTCAATTTTAATATAATCTTTACGAATAATTACAATTTAATGTAAACATATCTATATATACATAATTGTAGTTAAATAAAATGGATAAAGATATAGATAAAGTTAATGAATTTTGTGAAATTTAATGGAGTAATGGAGATGAGAGAGAATTAGTGGTATTAATTATTGAAGGAGAGAGTTAAAGGCATTGATCAATTGAGTTATTTTGTTCAATTTTAAAATTAGAAAATTCAAGAAAACCAGAAAAAAAAAATAAAAAAGATAATGAAAAGTAACCAGAAAGCAGAAAAGTGCAGGTTTGGCACATTCCATTTTAATATATAGATCATAGATGTGTGGTATGCTCATTTTTCTAAAGTGAGCCAAATAGAGGAAAGAAAGCCTAATTTTTTGAGCTGTGGAAGCAAATTGGAAGGTTAAAAGAAATTTTAGTTTGGGTCCGAGCGATATTAAAAGTACGGGGCCAAAGTAGACTTGGTGTAGCAAGAGGGACTGTGGGGGCCTTGTGAGAGAGGTGGTTTAAGCTCTTTCCATAAGCAGTTGTTTTCAATATGCCCCTGAGTGGTTCTGACCATCTTTCTATCACCCTTGAAACAAATCCATTGGTAGGCAAATGCAAAAGGCGCTTTAGGTTTGAGGAGATGTGTGTCACTCATGCTAAGGATGTTTGGCAAAAACAAGCTTGGGGAAGGGGGGGTTCAAGCTAGAAGGCTCTAAAAGACAAAGGTTGTTGGCTCAAGTCTAAACTGAGGAAATGGAACAAAAGGGGGCTCACCGATGAACAAGGACCAAATTGAATCAAAAGACATGCTCACATGATCTCTTGCTACAAAATCAAAGCCCAAAACACCTTTATTTATGAAGCTAGTGTCTATGTTTATCTTGATCTAGCCTTCCTCTGGCACCTCCCAATCGACTTGACTAAGTGAGAGTATCTCTAGAGGGGAAGGACTTTGATATCTTGCTTGGAAAATCTTCCTCCTCTCTATAAAGGTTAGATTCTTTAAAAACAAAGTTGTTTTAGAATTTCCAAATGTTCCAAGTACACAATGTAGAATAGATAACCATTCTAGTAGCTACTTCCTTAAGATACGTTTGGAAGCGATGCAAATATGTAGAGTGTAAAACAGTCCATTTAAATTGCAAAGTTGGGCTAGTTTTGCACTGACAAATTAACCTTCTTACCAAACAGACTTTTAGCTGTAATGGATGCAAACAAGAATTCCAATAAAGCATATGCCTTTTTTTTATCAAAAACCCACTTGATTGCAAATTTACTTATTTTTTTTTATCGATGTACTTTTACATCTCATTATCAATGTAAATATGCATTAGAAAATGTGTTTTTTTGTCATTTGTCAATGCAATGTTTCCAAACACAAGCAAAAAGTGAACTAGAGTGCAAATTTACCCTGAACCGGAATTTACACTCCATTTGCATCATTTCCAAACGCAGCCTTAGTGTATTTCCTCTTACACCAAGTCATACAACCATAGAACCATGAAACAAAAGAAGGAAATCTGGCACAGGAATCCATATGCAAATTGAGGTTACATCCAAACTAGATGAATCTAGCAAAATCATAGGTACAAAAGAGCATGCATGATTGATTCCACTTCTTTGTTACAAATAAAACAAGAGTCTTTAGTAGAGTACCTTTGGCCTTCAAATCTTTTACAACTAGAATTGCAATTTGACAACATTAATACTTTTATTGTTTTGATCAGTTGGAAGGGACCAAATGGTCTTCCAACTTTTGTTTTGCAAGGAAAAAAGTAGCATTTACAGAAAAATTCTCATCCTTCCCAGCTATCCAAACCAAGTCTATCTTCCTAATCATAGGTGGCTAATTTGATGTCAAGAATTTTGTTCACTACCTCTCAAGAGAAAAGGCTATTCAACTTTGCCACATCCTAGATTCTATTAGTTTGGTTTATCAACTTACTTACCCAAATTGGTCCCTCAAGCCCTATCCTAGGGCCGATGGGCTTGAAATGTTACTTGCCCTTCATGATCTTGACCTAGAGACTATCTTGATTTGTATAGATCCTCCATGCTAGCGTTGCAAGCAAAGCCACATTAAATATGTGATGGTCTCAGAATCCACGACCCTTGTTTAATTTCTTTCGACTCCTGGGAAGACCTAGTAGATGGTTGGCTTCAACACTCACAAGTTAAAGAATGCTTCAGATTTTGAGTTCCCTCAAGTTATTACTTCCAAGATTTTGTACCTATCATATGCAAAAGTACTTTTATAAAAGTACAAGTGCTTTCGTAAAAATGCTTTCATAAACATGTTTTCTTGAAAAAATACTTTTTAAAACATTACTTTTGCAAAAGTGCTTTCATAAAAATATTTTTATAAAATTTGAAAGAAAATTGAGGACAAAATAGTCACAAATGCCAATTTTAAGTGCTTATTGGAGAAAAAAACTACCAAACACCCAATATGGAATAAGTGATTATTTTTTAAAATAAACACTTGAAAAACTTGAATGTCAAATGCAAATAAATTATTTAAATAAACACTTATTTTTTAACATAAGCACTCCCAAACATAATCTTAAAATAATAAACAGGCTTTATTTCAAGATTGTGGGCTTCTCAACTTGGCTTCAGTGATCCTGCTTTCACTTGGTTCAATCAGAAGTGGGAACCATTCACTTCTGAATGGTTGAGATTGTTCCCTTTGGTGTCTGTTCCAACAACTTCCATGATGGATGGCTAGTGACCATGCCCACCTTATTACACTCAAGGCATGTTGGGAGAGTAATAGGACGCCGAGGTTCGAAATGGTTTGGATGAAAAAAGATGAGTTCAACGCTATATTTGAAACTAGTTGGCAAAGCAAATGGGGCATGATTTCCAAGCATATTGATTAAATAGAAGCCCAGTTATACCAAATGCAATTGGCAGTGGCACCACATCATATGTATGAATGATGGTGATCAAAATACGAAATTCTTCCATGTCATTATTATTAGGACCAATGGACTTCTTTGTCTGTAATCCTTTGTACCATCGACCCTATTCGGATAACTGGGTGTTAAAATACTAACAAAATCAATTGGATTTTATTTTGAAAATGAGGAATTGAGGGCAAATTCGACTTAATTGGGATGCTGAAACAATTGGTCAATTAACTAAACTATAAGGGTAATTTAAGAAATTTGCCCTTTATCGGCCAATAAGCATCGTTCTAGAACCTCCCAATACAGTGGGTGTACCAGAGTTCGAAAAAGTTCAGGGGTGGAGGAGCCTTAAACCAGCCCCCCTAAACCGGTTTAAAAAAAAATTAAAAAAAGTAAAAACAGTATCGATATCGCCCAGTACGCCCCTACCGGCATATCGGACATATCAATATTTTGAACCTTTTTCTCAACCATGAATTTGGAAAAACATGAATATATTCCAATAATTGGATATGACAAAATTGAAGGCATGCATTTTGATGTAACCGTTTTTGGTCACGTACCATTTTTTGTGATGTATAAATTTTTTGGCTAAGTACCTCGTTATTTGACCCGGTGGTGACGTGCCTTGGTGATGAGCTACTTGGTGGCGAACTCCATGGGGGAGAACTGCTTGGTGACGAACTGCTTGGTTGCGAACTGCCCGGTGGCGAGCTCCCTAGTGGAGAGCTACTTGGTGACGAACTGCCTGATGGCAAACTCCCTGGTGGCAAGCTGCCTGGTGGCGAACTGCCTGGTAGCAAACTGCCTGGTGGCGAACTACCTGTCGGTGAACTACCTGGTGGTGAACTCCCTGGTGGCGAACTGCCTGATGGCGAACAGCCTGGTGGCAAACTGCCTGGTGGCGAACTGCCTGGTGGCGAGCTGCCTGGTGGCGAACTGCCTGGTGGCGAACTGCTTGATGGCGAACTTCCTGGTGGCAAGCTCCCTGATGGCGAACTGCTTGGTGGCGAGCTGCCTGGTGGCGAATTGCCTGGTGGCAAACTGCCTGATGGCGAACTACTTGGTGGCGAGCTGCCTGGTGGGGAACTGCTTGATGACGAACTGCTTGGTGGCGAGCTCCCTGATGGCGAACTGCTAACTTGGACTCGTCACTTGACTTGCTCCAAGGCAGCCTGCAACTCAGAGGATGGTGGAGCTCCCTAGTGCAGCGCAACCTGACTACCCTCCGCGTGAGGTGACTTTCTCTCCTTTGTAGGCGGCGGGAGCTGAGGGACCTGCAAGAACTGAATCAGAGGACCCGAGGGATTTTCCCGGCGGGGACTCTCCGATGCCTAAGTTAGCATTCTGATTACAGAGGGYTTGGAGAGAAATGAGAGAGCTAGAGAGCGGGGGTTAACATCCTTTTTTTTTCTCCCCTTTGGCTTTGGGAGTCGAAGTCCTTATATAGTGGTGCCCTCGCGGGTTAGGTGGGAGAAAAGCCTTCAAACGGTAAGACGTCATATCCCGTCAGAACCGAGGTACGGTGATGAACTCCTCGAGGTTGTCAGGCTGGCGCTTGTGTCAGGCGGCCAGGT